AGGTGAGAAATCCCCTTCAGGGGGATGGCCCTACTGCAGTTCCTTCTCCATTCTCCTCTCAGGATTTTGGGCACACATGCAAGTGTACCTGGTGTGATTCTCAAGCCACTGCTTCCCAGACTCAAGCTGCCATTGGCCATGTGGGAATCCAGTGCCTTAACCACCACACACACCACTTGCTGGCCCTGACAATCTGTCTTTTAACCAGTGTATTTAGACCATGTCATTCAAAGTGGTCATTGATATTGTTGGATTAATATCACCTTATTTGTTACTCTTTTCTATTTCTTGCCCATATTCTTTTTTTTAAAAAATATTTGTTTAATTAATTAATTCATTCATTCATTCATTTATTTTAATTTGAGCAGAGAGAGACATAGAGAGAAAGAAAGAGAGGGCGGGAAAGTGAGAAAGCAAGCCACCAGGTCCGGGACTTGAACCGTGGTCAGCCCTGTGGGAGTGTCCAGCGCCTTAACCACCATGCCACCTGTTGTTGGTCCCTGCCCTTTTTCTTTGTTCCTATTTTTGTCTTCCTTTTTTTTCTCTGCCTTTTGCGTGTATTTAAGTTCCTTGTTTTTATTTTTTTTGAAAAAAATGGGCACCCTCAATGGGGTCTTGCCACTCCGCAATCCTCCACTGCCCCTGCATCCTCCCCATCCCCGCCCATCCTCCAGTTAGCCAGGTTCATGGACATACTTGTGAGTGTCCCTGGTGTGTTCAGATCAACTCAGAATCCAAATGTGGGGCTTCCCTGGGCTTTAGCATTGTGCAGAAGCACCTTGCTATCCTCCCCATCATGGCTGGGCCCTTTTTGTGTTTTTAATGAAATGTTTTATATAATGTCATATTCTCTACTTTCTTAGCATATCAGTTATTCTTTTTAATGGTTTTTAGTGGAAACTTAAGATTGTCTTAGAGTTTGCAGTGTATGTTTACAACTAATCTTAAATCTACTATCAAATAACATTATATTGCTACACACACACACACACACACACACACACACACACACACACACACAGGCCCTCCATTTCTACAGATTGAGCCATGGATAAAAGAAAAACTTTAAGGACCAGCAGATGGCATAATGGTTACGCCACTGGACTCTCACATAGTCGACCACAGTGCAAGTCTTAGACCTGGCGGCTGAAAACTCATGCCAGGCACATGTTTGTGTGTGCCCAAAATCCTGAGAAGAGAATGGAAGAAAAGGGCTTGCAGTGTGGCTATCCCCCTGGCAGGTGATTTCTCACTTTCTGCCTCTCTCTCTCGTCTCTCCAGTGAGCGTATGTGCCCTATACCAAAAATCTTTCTACCAAAAAATAAATAAATAAAAAGGCAACAATAAAATTGATACAAATAAAAATACAGTGTAACAAGATTTATATATTATTTACATTGAACTAGGTATTATAAGTAATTAGAGATTATTAAAATATAGGGGAGGATGTGTGTAGGTTGTGTATAGATATTGTACATATATAAAAATTACATTTTATATACTTGAGCATCTGTGGACTTTGTTTTCCTTGGGAGTTCTGGAACTAGTTGCCCATAGATGCCAAGGGATGACTCTACTGTGTGTGTGTGTGTGTGTGTTACATATAGTATGTACACATATACTTAGATGTTATTTCATCCCTCTTGTCTAAATTTGGCAGCTAGTTCCACAAGTTCTGCCTTTGTATAGGTTATGTGTTTTTCAACAGGGTCTTGCCATACTGTAGTTCTCCTGCCCTAGCCTCCCAGTTAGGTTGGATTAAAAGCATGCACCACTGTGTCCAACCTGTTTAGGTTGATCTGGAAACCAAATCTAGACCTCCCATGCAGCCTCAGCCTTCTGTGGTAGTGTTCTACCACCGGCACCATTGGCTAGGCACTATGTGTGCTGTATTCTCTTTCTTCTTTCCTTTTGGGATTTTGTTTGTTTGAATGATATTTTTTGTTTATGTTCTTTATCTCTTCCCTAATTTTCTGTATTTTTCTTCTTCATTTTCCTTAATCTTGGATATATTTTTTTAACTTATGTTCCTGGTTTTTTTGTTTGTTTGTTTGTTTGTTTGTTTGTTTTTTTAGTTTTTTGCCATAAGAAATGTGCACTTACCAGAGGGGTGGGAAGGAGTGAGAAATCACCCCCCCCCCCTGTGGGGGGGGATGGCTATGCCCCAGTTCCTTCTCCCTCATTATCCTCTCAGGATTTTGGGCATGCATGCACATGTGCCTGGCATGATTTTCAAATGCCTGGGTCCAGGGCTCCAACTGCAGTTGGCCATATGGGAGTCTAGCATCTTCACCACCATGCCACCTGTGGGCCCCTTTCAGTTCTTTCTTAATCTGTGTCTAATCTGAGTTGCTTTATCCTTCATTGAACTCTTAATTTTGGTGATTATATTTTTTTCTGTTTTACAGTTTTTGTTTTTGTTTTTATGGTTTCCCATGATCTGACAACATTCTCAACCTTATTTGCTATCCCCTGAAGGACAATAATATTGAACAATTTCTTTTTAGAATATGTGTTTGATAAGTCTTGAGAGTTATCTTGTCTGAAACCCTTGTTTATTATCATTTCTTGTAGCTTTAATTCACATTGCCATGTCTTCTCATGGACTTAATTGTTGTTTATTTTGCTATATATTTATCTGCAAAATTGTTTTTAATAGCAGTTTAAGGCCTAGTCTCATGTTTTTCTTCTGAATTGTCTATTTCTTTTTTTTTTTTAGAATTATTTAATTTTATTCATTCATTTATTTTAATTCCATGAGAGAGCGATACAGAGAGAGAAAGAAAGGGAAAGTGAGAAAGCAAGCCACCAGGACCGGGACTTGAACCATGGTCGGCCATGTGAGAGTGTCCAGCGTCGTATGTCCACACCACCTGCTGGTCCCCCATGAATTGTCTATTTCTAAGAGGCAGTCTTTAAAGGCTTTACCCAGGGTGGGCAGGTGGCATGATGGTTAAGGTGCTGGACTCCCACATGACTGACTGTAGTTCAAGTCCTGAACCTGGTGGCTTGCTTTCTCATGTTCTCTCTCTTTTCTCTTTCTCTCTGTCTCTCTGGTGAACACATGTGCCCTAAAACAGATTAAACAATAATAATAAATAAAATTAAATAATTCTTTAAAAAGTAAAATAAAACCTTTACCCGAAATGAGAGGTGTTCACCAGAACTTCTCTACATGGGAACTGGAACTGGAGATGAAGTAATGGTAGTCGTGACCAAGGAAGGGATGTCTTGAAATTGAAGTCCTGGAAAGTTCTTCTAGATTCCCCAAAAGGGAAAGGAAAGAGATATATAATTTTAACTTTATTTTTCAAAAATGTTTCAGTCTTAGTGAATTTTATTTCCATAGGGACTTAACTCCTATTACATAGTGAGAGTCAGCAGTCAAATTCACTTTACTGTTGTCTTAATTGAAATAAAAAAGAAATCTTCTATTCACTGGTAGTGGTATTAGAGTAGTTTTGTTTTTGTTTTTTTCTTTAATTCAGTTTAGACTTTCAGCTAATTAAAATTAAGACTGTAATACTTTCTATTGGTGTTATTAAGAAGTATGAGATAGGTTTGTTTTGTGTTTCTGTCTCTTAAAAAAATAATTTGGGTCAGAGTAGACTCAAAGTTGCATGACAGTTTCATGGTCCACTTCATTAATTCTAGGGAAAATTGTGTATTCTTGGCAGGTTAATTTTCTGGTAGCTGCTACAAATGGTGTACTTTGTATTTACAAAGGTTAAATCCTAGTACACATTAACCTAAGAGTTAAGAGCAATGTGTCATTGAAGAACTTTCTCTCCTCTATTAAAATAAAATGTCACCGGAAACCAAAGTAACAAGTTTTAGAGATCCTTTTATGTAACAGGTAGGCATTGTACTAATTTATCAGAGATTATATATTTCAAACAAGACTATGTAATTTAATGGTTGGTTTGCATAGGCCAAACATCTTTTCTTGTAGTGAGAAACGTAATTAGTGATAACCTGTGACTAAGGGAGAATGCTATCAGAAAAATGCATCTATATATGTATGTATAATGGCTAGAGAAAGATTAATGAAGTTAAAGGGGGCAGAACTATTGAAATTTTTATTCTTGTTTAAAAGAACAGTATTTTGTTTTTTTACTTCTAGATGCAATAAACATTTACTTCCTTTCATTCTGGGTCACTGTTTTTAGGATAGATGAGATTGATTTACTTTTCTATTCTTAGCATAGTGCATGCTACAGGAGATGATCAATATTTAGGTGTTGACTGATTTCTCATCTGAATCTGCATCCTGAGGGTAGTTTGCCTTGTGTCAAAAAAGATCCTTTGTGGCATTAATCACATAGTTCCTTGCTGAAGGTCATTTTTGTGAAGACTATGATTTTCCCAGCTACTTACCAAATTCCAGATGGCGTTTTCTGTGATTTAGGAGTATGGATTTTGTATCAGAATCCACCCTTAATGTTTATCACAGTAGCTTTAGGAAACATGTCTCTGTGGTTTGTCAATCCAGCAGTAGCTAAACTGGAAAAGCCCTTACTTCTAGTCTAAATAAGTTAATATTGAAGATATGACCTTGATGGTCACAGAATCTTTGCATGGAAGTAAAGACAGTTTGTTGTGATCCAGTTTTATTCTTGCGTTTTATTTTGTGAACAATTGAAAGTGTGGAAATAGGGTTTTGTTATAAAAATAATAGTAGATGGAGCCAGCCACACGACATGGTGGATAAGGCATCTGAGCCCCACATGGCCTACTGTGCAGTTCAAGTCCCAGACTTGGCAGCTTGGTGTGTGTGTGCCCCAAATCCCGAGAGGAGAGTGGAGAAGTTCTTGTAGTGTGGTCATCGCACCTGGAGGGTGCTTCTCACTTTCTCCTATCTCTGCATTCCCCAACCCCCCTGGCTTCAGGAGTGCATGTGCCCCATAGCAAACTTAAAAATGATAGAATAGTAAGTGATAGAAATGTGTAAGGAAGCAGAACTTCCCCAATCACTAATTAATTGTATTTCTCTGTGTAGGCATAATTTGGCCTCCTGAGATTCTGCCTCAGCAAGAAAGAAGTAGGAAATACTCTTGGAAAGAAACCTGAAGCAAGAAGAAAGCCAGAACTTATTTTTACATGGTTGTCAGCTCACTTACCGATATGGACACTTTTGCCAACATTTTTCCTCCAGGTGGAGACAGTGGCCTCACAAGTTCTCAGTCTGAGTTTCAGAAAATGTTAATTGATGAGAGGTTACGATGTGAACATCATAAAACCAATTATCAGACTCTGAAAGCTGAACACACAAGGTACATTGCTTATAGATAGGGACTTGGTTAAAAACGTTGTTGTAGCTGTCTTAGCTGAATGTTGCTCTGGAACATGCAGTATAATTTTGTTATACTGAATGCATTTAAAACTTCAAATTCAGTAAAATTTTTACTTTAAAATTATTTTTTCAAAATGAAGTATGGTATCAAATGGGCTGTAAATTCATAACTCTTATTTTGAAAGTAGTGAAACATATAAGATTCAATATATCCAGATATATAAATGTTTTTCTCCTCCCTCAAAAAAAAATTGCTTTCAGAAACTATAGTGTTCATAATTAAATGAAACTATAAAGAAAAGGTATTTGCAAGTTTAACGGAATATATGGTATTGATCTTGTTTTTCTCTAGTGTTAGTTGACTTTACATAAAGTAATGCAATTAGAATACACTTAAAATTTAATTATTATTTTTTTTAAACAGATTGCAGGATGAGTACATAAAGTCACAAAATGAACTCAAGCGCCTGTTAAATGAAAAGCAAACTCACCAGGAAAAATTTCAGCTGCTGCTTGAAGATCTAAAAGGGGAATTATTAGAGAAAACTAAATTGTTAGAAGAAATAAAGCTGCAGGTGAGAAAATATATTTGAGTTAGTATAAGAGTAGTCAGATGTTTAGTAGAAGTAAGTTTCAGTAATTATGGTACATTCTCTCTATATCCTTAATAATTATTATGACAATATCTCTAGGTGGTATAATTTAATCTTCTTTCATATATTCTAGAATGTTAGCTAACCTTTAGGTAGACATGAAACTTGTCTTATGTAAATTATTATTATATTACCCATTCTGACTGAAATAATATTTTGCTCTTTAGAATAATTAGGATGGCCAGTTGTAATTCAGAATAATTAGGGAGAACTCAGTTTGAATTTATTAAAAACTCAGAATTAAGGAATATTTTTAAAAGAAAGATCTATTAATTTCTGTATCCATATCATAACTGAAACTAAGCTAGGATAGTTAAAATAACTACTAGGAGTTTCATAAAAAAACGATATATGCATGTCAGTTATATGTGCATTGTAAAGTCAGTGGGTTTCTAAGCAAAAGATAGTTGGTACTGAAGTACTAAACTACAGTATCTGTAGATACTTTGCACATGCATATTATTTGTTTTCATTTGCCTGGAAAGGACAAAGCTAACCATAATTTCAAAAAACACAAACTGTGCATTTCTGCCTAAGAATGTGCTTGGTACAATTAATAAGGTATTAGTGGGACCAGCAGTTGGTGTAATGGCTATGTCGCTGGACTCCCATTTAGTCAACCGTGGTTTGAGTCCTGGGCTCAGTGGCTTAAACTCATGCCGGGCACATGTGCGTGCGTGCCCAAGAACCCAAGAGGAGAATGGAGGAGAAGGGATTGTAGCATGGTCATCTCCCCTGGGGGGTGATTTCTCGCTTTCTGTCTCTCTGTCTCTCTCTGTCTTTCTGGCAAGCACATGCGTCCTATAGCAAAAACCTCTCCAAAAAAAATGGTATTAGTAATTCTGGAATCATATGTTCATAAAATGAGAAGGCATCTTTGAAGTTATGTAGTCTGACATATTACCCAACTCATAGATTTTCCTTGACAGCACCTTTGGAAGTTTTTAATTCAGTAGTTCTTGAAATCTTCCATGGTTGAGAAATCTTTTTTTTTTTTTTTTCCTTTTTTTGGAGAGGCGTTCGCTATAGGACGCGTGCACTTGCCAGAAAGACAGAGACAGAGAGACAGAAAGTGAGAAATCAACCCCTCAGGGGGGATGGCCATTCCTCAATCTCTGTTCTCCTCTTGGGATCTTGGGCACGCACACACACACGCCTGGTGTGAGTTTAAGCTGCCGGGTCCAGGACTTGAACCACGGTTGACAATGTGGGAATCCAGCTACATAGCCATTACGCTAATTGCTGGTCCTGGGAAATCTTCTAAATTGGGATTAGAACCTTCATTATGCTATTTCATTTCTAAGTATTTAGGACACTTAAACAGATGTGGGTTCAAAAAGGAAATATAATTTAAACCTATGTAATCAGATTTAATTTATTTTGCAAAAATTGATAGGCTTATGTGAATGGCAGGTGCTGAACCTGAGGTATTTGAGGTATTCCCTAGGCATTGTAAATTTAATTACAGTTGCCCTTTGAATCTTTGGGTTCCTCATCCGTAGATTCGACCAGCTATGTATAGAAAATATTTGAGTGGTCTGCGGGTGGCATGTTGGATAAAGGTGCTGGACCTCCACATGGTGAACTGTGGTTCAAGTACTGGACCTGGTGGCTTCCTTTCTCACTTTCTCTCTCTCTGGTAAAATTAAAAAATAGTAATAATAAACAAAGTTAAAGTAAAATAATTCTTTAAAAAATATTTGGAAGAAAAATTGGTTGTGTATGTACTGAACATGTTCAAACTTTTTTCCTTATCATTATTTCCTAAACAATACCATTTAACAGCTATCTAGACAACATTTATGTTGTATTACGTATTATGCTTTGTAGATGACTGTTTGTTTCACAACTTTAAGGTTTATGGCAACCTTAAATCTGTTGGTGCCATTTTTCTAATACTAAGTGTTCACTTTGTGTGTCTGTCAAATTTTATGGTAGTTCTCAATAATTTCACAACATATGTATGTTGATTTTTAGGCATAATGCTATTGTATACTGACTAGACTACTGTGAAATGTAAACAACTTTTAAATGTACTGGGAAACAAAAAAAAAGTGTGTGACTTGCTTTATTGTACTGCTCTGTTACAGTGGTATAGAACTGAACCTGCAGTATCTCTTGAGTTATACCTGTATAAGTAATCTAGAGATGATTTAAAGGATATAGAAGAATGTGCATAGGTTACATGCAAACGCTATGTCATTGTATATAAGGAATTTGTGAATCCATGGATTTTGGTATCACAGGGGTCCTGGAACCCATCCCTTGCAGATACTAATGCAGTGATGAATGAAAACTACTACGGCTCTGCCCATATAGAACTTACATAACTATTTAGTAACTTGAGGGATTACATGAAAGGATGGAGCCTAGATTCCTTTTGATTACCAGAGTAAAAACCAGCCTCTTATGGGGGCAGCAAGTGGCATAGTGGTTAAGGCACTGGACTCCTACGTGCATGACCACAATTTGAGTCCCAGACATGGCAGCTTGAAAATCACTCCAGGCATGTGTGTTTGCATTCCCACAATCTCAGGAGAAGAATGAAGAAGGGGTGGCCATCCTCTTTGAGGGGTGGTTTCTCACTTTCCTTCTTACTGTCTCTCCTTGGCAAGTGCACACTCCCTATGACAAAAACCTGAAAAAAAAAATCAAACAAAAAACCCCCAGCTTTTTATAATTGAAACTAAGTCTGAAGAATTCTCAAACTATCACACCTTTATTTTGCTTGCCTTAGAAAATAACTAGAGTATGAGCCACTGTATCCAACAGGATAACCTTAACTGCCAAAATAGTTATTCCTAATGTTAATAATAATCATCATCATCGTAATAATAATTAGTGACTGCTTTTACCTCATGGTTTTCGCTTTTTGGTTTTGAAGTTTCTTTAATGAGAGAAAATAGAGAGGGGGGGAGCAACCTCAACAGTGTCTTCCCACCACAATCCACCCTCAGCCCAGCATGTCTGGATCACAGGCATGCACATATGTGCCTGGCATGTACAGAAATGTATGCCTGGTGTGTACAGAGAGAGAGACTTTAAGCCGTGAATCTGAGACCTTCCCATGTGGGTCCAGTTGCATCACTACTTGGCCACTGTCTGGCCTTCTTTATCTTATTTTAATACAATTTTTGACATCTCTCAGAGCCTAGCATTGGAATTCTCAAAGTATTGTTTCAGATCATGGTTCTGTTTATATAGTGATTATTGTAAAATTAGCTACACTGTGAAACCATCTGTGAAATTCAGTTACATTGTCTTAATTAGAAGAAAGGCTTTGAAATTTGTAGAATTCTTGATTTTAATATTTGTAATTTCATATGTAGAATTTTTTTGTTTTTCTCCATGTTAGGTATTAACTCCACAAAAGTTAGAATTGTTAAGAGCCCAGATACAACAAGAACTAGAAACTCCCATGAAAGAGCGTTTTCGAAATCTGGATGAAGTAAGTAACTTGTGTATAACTATGTATTTATCCTCATGTAACCGTGAAAGTTCTGATGAAAAGCTTCATTCCCTACTGAAAAACTCTTCAGTTTGCACTCAGAGTTCTCATGGTGCTCTCTACGGTGTCATGGGGTTGCATTTCACTACCACCTCTCTGACCTCCTTTTTTCCATCCACACTGGCCTCTTGATATTTTCATGCCATTCCAGAAATGCTGTACTTCAAGAGTCTTTGCTCCAGTGTTAGGTCTGTCTTGAATGCTCTTCTTCCACATACCTCTTGTCTAACTTGATGTTTTGTAAGTCTTTGCTAAAATGCCACTTTTAAAATGAGACATACTTTGTCCCTTAACCTCCTAATTAACTTGTCTTTTCTATCTGATTAGACCTTTGGATCCTCCTGTTATGCTCTGTTTTTTAATTGATTCTCTAGTATATATTACCTTTTAATATACTGTATAATTTCTTTATTGTGCTTATCTTTTATTTTACCACTTCTAGAATAGAAGTTGCATTGTTATATTCCAAGTTCCCATAACAGTTTCTGGATATAATAGGTGTTCAACAAAAGAGTGAATTTCATGCAACCTCAGAAAAATTTGTAACAATTTTACTTCAGGTTGGGACTAGTCTCCTTTTATGAAGTGCTGGGTATAATATGACTTTAATAAAAGGGACTGGAAAAGGCTGCAGATATGTTAGGTTTTGTGCAAAACATTTTATATATGTGACCTTATTTAACAGATATACTGAGTCTTTTGTGTATGATTATTATCTTCTTCAAAATGGATTCCTTTGGAAAGTTGTAGTCTAATTATGCTGCCATTGCACAAAAGATGTTGTGGAATTCTATTAATTAATTATGGGAGTGAGGAAGAGAGTATGGGAAAGGAGAGGAAAGAAGGAGAGGGAGAGAAAGGGTCATTTTTTGATTGTGTGTTGCCTGTCACAGTCCTCTTGCCCTAACCTCCCAGTGAGCTAGGATCACAGGCTCAGAGCTGGCCTGTTTAGGTTGGGCATGGATTCAAACCTGGGCTTCCTCTGTGGCCCCACCCACCACATAGCAGTTCCCTACCACTTGTGCCACTGTGACCAGGCCTGGAATCCTCTTTTATATTGGCTTACAGGCTTGATAAAATTATTTTTTACTCAAAAGATACTCCTTGTGGTAAAACATTATGGTTTAGGAGTATATTTAAATTTTAGACATCTTATTTCTGAAAATAAGTTGAGGCTGGCCCCATAGTCTAGTAGTTAAAGGAGGTAGATCCCAAATATCTGACTGCAGTTTGAATGCTGGTCCTGGAGGCTTAAGAAAGATGCCAGCTGTATATGTGCACATGCCCCAAATCCCAACAGGATGGAGACATGGAAGAGAGGGGCTTGACTGCAGCATGACAGTGCTCCACTGGGGGTGTCTTTGCACCCCCTGTCCGTTTCTCTCTGGCAAGTGCATGTAGCTCTGGAAATTTAAAAACAAAACAAAACAAAAACAAAACATTAATTGTAGATGGTAAACTTAAGTAAAGTGTTGTGTTTTTGTTTTTTTAAGTATATCTCTAATAAAATCATGAAACCTGTATTTTGGAATTGGAAGCTTGCTTAGAAATCTTTCAACTAAAGATTTATGGTGAGCTAAGTATTTTAAAAGACATGATTTCCTCGTTATCTAATTTTCTTGATGCATGTTGAAACAGTGTCTCCTGCACCTTTTTGCTCTATTGCCCAAGTTCTTTGTTGAGTATTCAGAATGCCAGCAGCCTTTATAGAGTGTTAGAAAACAGGATGAAAGCACCACAGGGAATTAAATGTGTTCCTGTTAGTCAGTAGAGATGATGTTACGTATATTCTTCAAGCTGGTGCATTGAATTGAACTATCATTGTAATATTTGATTGAACCTTAACTTACTGTACTAAATAGTCAAATAATCTTTTATCTACTTTGAATTTAACTTGTCTGAGTTTTAGAGAGGTATTTTATACTTTATTATACATTTTAAAACTGTATTTTGAAAAATATGCTGTATTCTTAAATATTTTATAAGCCCAGAAAAGCTATATAGTGTTATGTATACGGTGTCATGCTATACAGTATTATGATAGTAAGTGAAGAAATGACATTAATTAAATGGTAATTTGCTTTACTGGTATCTTTCTCAGAGTGTGCTAATTCTGTATGTAGGATTCTTGTCATGAGGACTTTTCCAAGGTTCATTTATATTTCTTTTAAATTTATTTTTTACATGTAGATGGCTCCCAATAATTTAAAAGTATACTTGCAAAAGTGATTTTTAGTGTAGGTATAAATTTAATTTATAAATTTGCATTAAGTTTCAATCTCTTTAATTTAGGAAGTGGAAAAATATAGAGCTGAATATAATAAGCTTCGCTATGAACATACATTTCTTAAATCGGAATTTGAACACCAGAAAGAAGAGTTTGCACGGATTTTAGAAGAAGAAAAAATAAAATATGAATCAGAGGTGAGCAATGATTATACTAATGTATTTGTTATTTTGTTTAGTCAATAAAATTGTATGGATGTATACAAGTAAATCCCATATTAGAGTTGATTGAATACTTAAGTATTATTAATTAATGATGAAGTCTTTGTCATGATATTCATCTGCTTTTGTATCAACATTTTTCTTATAAATATTTTGTTTCAGTCATTAGATTTTGCTGTCTTTTTTTTTTGCTTGTTTTGCCCTGTCAGTGGTGGAGATAGACAACTTTAGGGATTTCCATCACACGGTGTCTGTTACTTCCTATAGCTGTAAAAACAGACTTCTCTTTGCAAATATAGTTTCTATGATTCTTTACTTAGCACTATCTCTCTACTTTTTAGACCCAAGTCAAATCAGGAAAGCTCCAGACATCAATGCATGTCCTTGTCTCCATTAGTATAAAAGCTTTATTGCTTAGTATGTACTCCTCACCTTCAGGTATACTCTCTTCTTCGTGATGCCTGCACCTGCAACATTCTGCACCTATGCTTGCACTCCTCCTCCCTCCTCCATTGCTTTCGGCAGCCGTTCTACTCATTTCCTGGGTTTTCTCCTAGTTGTACCAAAGTGGGGTTTCTGGTTTATTTTCCTCATGTTGTTTTTTGGACAGTTTTCCAGGATGGATAAAATACCAATTTTTTCTTGCCATATTTATAAAAAGTAACTTGGTGTCTATAGTTACATGATATGATCTGATGGAAAAACCATCACATGTTTTTTGCATTGTTTTATTGCATTTTTTATTTGGAATTAAAATACACTCACCTTTCTTTACCATTTATTAAATATTTGTAGTTTTAAAACATCTACAAAAAATGAAAACTGTGCAGTATGAACCAAACTCACTTATTCTTATCAGTGAGCAAATTGTTCTGTGAGGGTTCCATATATTTTCTCTTAATTTAAAAAAAAAATTTTTTTTTTACCATAGGGCATGTGCACTGGCCAGAGAGAGAGAAAAAATGAGAGGGATAGTGAAAAATCATCCTCCAGGAGGGATGGCCACATCGCAGTTGCTTCTCCATTTTCCTCCTGAGATTTCGGGCATGCATATATGTACACCTGAGGTGGGGTGAGTTTCAACACATCAGGTCTGAGATTTAAACCATGGTCAGGCATTTGGTGGTCCAGTGCCTTAACCACCACACCATGTTCTGATTACATTTTTAAGAAGCTGTATGAGCTTTGAATCCTTTGAGTTCATTAATAATATAGGACCAGAAAAATACAGTTTTATATATTAATTTTTTAACAGTTTTAAATACTTTATTCACTATTACTTCTATTTTCTTATAATAAGATGGGCAGGACTGTCTTATTTTCTCCATTAAAAATGAGGAAACTTGGGGTCAGGAGATGGCATAGCTGCCCTATGGCCGACTGTGGATCAAGTCTCAGACCTGGTGGCTTAAAACTCATGCTGGGCATATGTGTGAGCATGTCAAAGATCCTGGGAGAACAATAGAGGCGAAAGGATTGCAGCATGGCCATCCCCCCTGAGGGGTGATTTCTCACTTACCCTATCACTGTCTGTTTCTTACCTCATTCTCCTGTAAGTGCGTGCTCCCTAAGGCAAAGAAACCTCTTAAAAACAAAAATGAGTAAACTAAGGTGTAGGTTGAGTGAGCTGCCCAAAATCTATTGTTGAGAGGTCAATCTATATTACAAGTCGTTATAAAAATTTTCAATCATAATTATTGACAAGACTTAAAAAAAAACTACATGTAAAAATGTTCTTGTGGGGACTAGCAGTTAGCGTAATGGCTATGTCGCTGAACTCCCATGTAGCCGACCGTGGTTCGAGTCCCGGACCTGGTGGCTTAAATTCATGCTAGGCATGGGTGCATACATGCCCAAGATCCTAAGAGGAGAATGGAGGAGAAGGGATTGCGGCATGACCATCTTCCCTGGGGGGTTATTTCTCGTTTTCTGTTTTTCTCTGTCTTTCTGGTGAGTACATGTACCTTATAGCGAAAACCTCTACAAAAAAAATAAAAATGTTCTTGTGGCAATAGGAATGATAAAGATGTCCAACCTAAAATAGAGATTTAGTAAGGTTTACTGAATCAGTGCTTTATTTTATACTTTGCTTTTAAAATATAATGATAAGGAACAGCCCATGGCTTTTTAGCTTAGGGAGTTGGATCCCACATGGCCAACTGCATGTTATGACTCCTAGACCCAGTGGCTTGAAAAACATACTGGGAGCATGTGTGTACACATGCAAAACTTCAGAGGAGGGAGAAATGGAGATGGGATTCCAGCGTCATCATGCCCATGAGGAGGGGTGCTTTCTCCCTCTCCTCTCTGGCAAGTGTACATGCTTTCTGGCAAATTAAAAAATATTCATCTAATGAGATTTATCTGATAATGATTATTTGTATTCTCTAGTTTCTTAGTTTTATTGCTATTTTTAAAGAATAAAACTTGTATCTAAAATCTGATGACTAATCTATTTTTTCACCCATGAAAAGAACAAAAACTAGTCATTAAAAATTTTAGGGGAAGGACCAGCAGTTAGCATAATGGCTATGTCACTGGACTCCCATGTAGTCCACCGTGGTTCGTGTCCCAGACCCAGTCGCCTAAAATTCAGACCGGGTGTGCGTGCATGCCCAAGATCCCAAGAGGAGAATGGAGGAGAAGGGATTGCTGCGTGACCATCCCCCCGGGGGGTGATTTCTCACTTTCTGTCTCTCTGTCTCTCTGTCTGGTGAGTGCATGTGCCCTATAGCAAAAATCTCTTCCAAAAAAAAAAAAAATTTAGGGAGTGGGACCAGCAGATGGTGTAATGGTTACGTTTCTGGACTTCCACATAGTTATGAAGTAGCAATACAAGTAGGTTGAGCATCCCTAAGCAGAATATTCAAAATGCTCCCAAATCAGAAACTTTTAAAATGCTGACATGATGTCACAAGTGGAAAATTGCATACCTGACGTTATATACAGGTCACAGTCAAAACACTACAGTACAAAAATATCATATAAAATTACCTTCAGGCTATGTGTATAAGGAATGTTTATGTAACAAATGAATATTGTGTTCAGACTCGAGTCCCATCCCTAAGATATTTCATTATGTATGAACAAATATCCCAAAATTTGAAATCTAGAATATTTCTCGCTCCAAGAATTTCTGATAAAGAATACTCAGCCTACATTCTTTAGTGGATACTTGGGGATTTGCCTTCGTTCCATTATTAATTTTAGTATTCCAATTTTAATATACAAAAACAGTAAAACCTGGTGAGATGATTGTAGAACATGAAACAGTCACTCTAGTTTCAAATATAGTTTATAGAAAAAACATATATTGGGTCGTCAGAAAAGTCATGATGCATTATGTTTAAAAACTAACACATTAGTTTAAAAACTAATCCTAACTTCACCAAGTCTACTGTTATACCATTTTCTAATTTTACTATTTTAAACTAGTATAAAATATGTGAATTCATGTTATAAAAATAATTGGATTTTCTTGTATTAAATGTTCACACAACACTTATACATTTTTACTTTTACAGATAAAAGTTTTTAGGGGAATACTTTAGAAAGATTTTTTTTTTCAGTTTTTCCCCGAAAAGGACTCCAGTAATTTACATTCCTTTTATGATGTTCTTAACTGAAAGTAGTTTATAAATCAATCTATGAAAACAGATATTGTCGTGTTATGTAAAAGATAAGTTCCTACCTTTTTAAATATATTCCTCATTAACTGTAGGAGCATATTAAGTCTGGGTCTTCATACAGATGACATGGTGAAGTTGCATATATAGTTAAGAGTCAGAAGTGAGGCTATTGTGTTTTGTTTTGGCTAAAACTACACTAATTTATTATCTTACAGTTTTAGAGGTATCATCTTTTTAAAATAATTTATTATAATTTATTATAATTTTTAATATTACATTTAATCACATATATCTTTTTTTATTTTTGGAGAGGTTTTCACTATAGGGCACGTATGCTCGCCAGACAGACAGAGAGAGGCATAGAGACAGAAAGCGAGAAATCATCCACCAGAGGGGATGGTCACGCCGCAATCCCTTCTCCTCCATTCTCCTCTCAGGATCTTGGGCACACACGCACATGCGCCCGGCGTGAGTTTTAAGCCACTGGGTCTGGGACACGAACCGCGGTCGACTATGTGGGAGTCCAGCGACATAGCCATTACGCTAACTGCTGGTTCCCATTAATCACATATATCTTTACAGTGTATTACATTTCTTTTTCCAGCATGATTACCATGCATTTCAGTCAAGACAAAGACATTACTATCCACATCATCATCATCAAATAGCTTTTCATAATTTTTTTTCAGATTATTATTATTATTTATTTTCATTATTTTTTTTAAAACATTCAATCACTATGTATCATTTGGTTTGTAAAGAGAATTTACCGAACATGAAATACTTCTCAGACCAGTCCAGTTAAGGCTATTCTGTTTTCATTAAGTTTCTTGGACTCTAGTTTTATATTATTCTAAAAACAGTAACAAATATTGCAGAGAATTATTGTAGGTATGGGTGATTATATTGATTCAATGAAGGAAGAGTAATTCATATTAAGATCTCAAGAGAGATGGGGCAAGGAATACTGTATCATATGAAAAACCATCAAAATATCAGCACATTATAACAAGTCACTGAGGTTCTTCTGTTATGCTCATTATACTGCTTAGTTCTTCCTTGGCTTTTCATGGGTCAGGTGAGAAGCCAAATTTCCTATCACAAAAGGAAAGCATTCCTGAAGACCGAAAATGCAATATGTGTAAACACATACACATACATATATACCATGGTACATTTGCCATGGTGCATTCTGAGGTTCTAATCTGGAGTGTTGCTTTAGTCCAGATGATTTTTTTATGGTTTTGTTATCTAAAATATCCCAGGTTTTCTGACCTGCTCCCTTCCCATATTGCTCTGAACATTATAGGCAAGAGTCTCCCAAATTAAAATGGAGTTGCCTCATAG